TCTATGTAAAAATCTGTGGGTGAGTTTAAAAAATCATGCCTTTGAAGTCTGCTGGGAGGCTGAGGAACTCTGGGTGAGTTTACCAGGAGATGGGGGGTGGAAACCTACCGTCTTCTTCCCACTTCTTGAGTTTTTCTTCTACTAATGCCAGTCTCCCTGGGAAAGAGACTGAGTCGCCTGGCAGTTCTGTGGGAAACCTTCAAGGACCCATGTAATGAGCTGCAGCTTCCCTATGGGTCGGGCGTCTCCTGCCTGCTGGAGGTCCCGAGTTCCATGATGCTTAAGCCAACAGCACAGTCACCGCCAGCGTTTATTTCCGGTTTGTTTTCCTAATGATGCTGTGTTGCCTATGTATATACCCATAGCTTCCCTAGGTACTTTGCTGCCTCCTCAAGTTAAATAGCCTGTGATGGCCAAGGTGCAAACGTGTCTCTCCAGCACTCGGCAGAAACCCTGACTCCCCTTCCATGTCCCCTGAGATTCACTCCTCCTGGTTTAATTTTATCTGCGCCCGGAGACGTTCAGGTGTCAGAAGTCAGATGGAAGGTAGAACCGACTACTGCAAGAATTCACAGACATGTTAATAAATCTGGTTTTGGAGACTAAGTATGTAAAAATGGCCCTCCTCAGAAAGACACAACCTCCATTTAAAATAATTCCTTGATGGGGAGAGCCCCTCATGCACATACCCAAAGGGGGAGACCCTTTTCAAGCGGCGACTTGGCATTTTCAGACGGGAGCGGAGGAGGGGTAGCGGGCCTGCTCAGGTACGTCTTCCAATCGCGATAGCTGGCTCTGGCTGTGAGTAATCGCCCCTCCCCCTCCCTTTAAAATGAAATAAACGCTCCAAGCCTTTCACCGCACAAGGCTCGGCCCTTGGGGGCAGTTCCTTCAAGTGAGAGCAATCCCGGCGTTGCTCCGACTCTTAAAAGCCCCAACTCACAAAGGTTTCTAGAGCTGACATGAGCTTCCAGCACGTAAGGGTGAGAAGAGAGGCGTTAGGGTGGAGGGCCAACGCGATTGCAGAGACTGGCAGGGAGGTAAGGCGAGCGGGAAGGCTGGTGCTCGCTGGGTGGGATGGGCGCCGACGCGGGGGGCAGGGTGGTGCCTGGGCGCAGTTTTGGCGCAGGAGGGGCGCCGCCGCCCAGCACCCGGCCACAGTGGGTCTCTCCAATGCCTGGTGGCGGCCAGATACGTGAGTCAAAGCCTCGGGGCTTGGCTGGCCCCGGGGTGCGCCGCTGTGTAGGACACAGCGCGGAGAAGGCCTCGGGGGACACTGGGCTCCCGCCTGCGCTCGGAGCAGTTAGGCTGAGTGCAAATGGGCCCAGGGATGTAGGTGGAGAGGTGACGGGAGTTGTGCAGGCGTCTATCTCCTTGCAGCCAAGCCTGGCCTCTGGCGAGAGGGTCCTCGAGGCAGAGCAAGGAAGGCCACGGCATGTCTCTAACGGGTCCCCGAGGGCCGCTAGGAAGGTGGCCTGGAGTGCTAGGCAGCTCCATGGCTGTGCGTTAGCACGACGGCTAAAAATTTCGCCCCCTGCGCCAGGGGTGGGTGGTTGCAAAGTTAGAGACAAAACCCTGGGCATTTGCACTAGCAAGCCCTCCGACATGCCGGGCCTTGGCTCGGCAACCTGGCGATCCGCAGGCCGCGTCCATTCGCCCCTCTCTGTCCACCTGGAAAAAGCCGGTATTTGCGAGAAAGACCTTAAGGGTCGCGAAGCCCTTCCGGCGCGGTGCCCGACTTGGCGCGCGCACAAGAGTGAGCAGTAACCGGAGCTAGTGTTGAATTCTCGCTTTGGACGAGAAGCGTCTACGCCCTGCGCAGCATTAAAATATCTATGATTGTAGGTTCGTTGAGGGCTGGTGCACGGCGCTCCAGGATGTGTTCTTAGTGAGCTTATGCCGGCCTGGGTGGTTTCTGACGCGTCTGTCCAGTGGGTGCCAGTGCGCGAAGAGCGGGCGCGGGGCGTAGGGTGGGGCGCGTGAACGTACGCCTCTCCCCCGCACCGCAGCAGGCCCGGGCCCTATCCGCTCTGCGCGACCCTGGCCCGCCACTTAGAGCTGGCCCTACCAGAGCACACGCGGTTCAAAGGTCAGGATTCACAGCCTGCGCACCGCGCGGCCTCGGCGAGGGCGCTCCGGGGCCTCCACCTGCTGCCTCGTGCCCCTCCCTGGGGCTGCAAGAGGAGCCGCGCGCCAGGCCCAAGCCCGCCCTACCCGCCCGGCCGCTTTCCTGGCCTAGGATGGGGGTAGGATCGGCGGCGGACTCGGCCTGGGGCAAGGAGTAGTGTTTCCAGAGGGACCCAACCTCGCGCCTACTTGGAGGTGTCGCACAGACGGGGCGCTGCTGTCCCGGCGGACGCTTTGTCGCCTCCTATCTGGCGTCTGGGGCTTGGGCGTGGGCTGCGTGCGTGGGTCCCCGGCTGGCGCGTGCGCGGGCAAGCTCCCTTGGGGGCGGAAGAGGAGACAACTTCCGACGCTCCCTTCATCCTTGCTCAACATGAGGCATGGAGCAAGGCTTCCCCGGGACCCCTGCGTCCTGTTTGCACCTAGCTAGGCCCTACGAGGCCTCCGGGATTCGGATGGGGCACCCTTCCCCCATGCTGGCTGCCTCAGGCCGCGGTCACGCAGTCCCACGTAGTGTTCCGGAGGGTGAGGGGCGGGGGCTTTGGGGTCTGTCTAAGGTACAGTAGCCAAAAGGCTCCTAGCGCTCGACTCAGCGACTGGGAAAGTTAAGCTGAACGCAGGGCGGAGGCTTCTGGAACCGCGAACAGGCCGCGCGTGCCTGGGTTCGAGTTCTGGCGCTACAGCTTGTTGGCGCACCGTCCCCGCGCAAGGCCGCCACCCTACCAAGGGCGCAGAGGTAGCCCTGGCCCTGGCGCATGACCAGTGGAGGGGAGGCAGTGCGGTGATCCAGGGGCGCTGCCTTGGGATTGAATGGCCGTCGACCAGTGATTACGAAGCCTCTAGGGTTCTGGGCCTCCCCGAGTGGAGGCGCCCTGACCTTCGGGGCCCATCAGCTCCCTTCCGCCTTGGACGTCCTCGGGCGGAGAAGAATCTCTGTTCCTGCAGGTGGCTCCGGCGAATTGTGCTGCGGGAAGAAAGGACTGCAGGCAGGGCTTGGGGTGGGGGTGGGCACCCTCCTGCGGGAGTCGGGGAGTGCCCAGCAAGGAGCCAACTTGTTCCAGCCCCACCCCTGATGGGTCTTGGCGTCCAGCTCCGGGAGAGAGGGCCCAGGCTGAATAAGAGCCCTGTACCGGGATCTGGGGCGTCCGAAGGAGGCTCGTCGCAGCCTTTCTCGGAGGCAGGCGAGGGACCCTAGTCTCCCACGTCTGGGGCGACCGTGCCTGCGGCGCCGGGGCCGATCCACTCATTGCGCAGCTGCCCCCGAAGCCTACTCCCTAAATCTGCAACACTGCTGCGGTGGTTTCTTTTGCCTCCAGGCCCGGGTGATTTGGAAGCGAGGTGTCAGGGGTCGTAAGCAAGTGTCTTAATAAATCGACTGCCCTTCGTACTTCGTGCAAAACCCCGAAGGCATGGTGGGCGAGCAAAGCCCCCAGCTGGTTGGTTTCTCCTGCAAGTTTTGCTCTGCCGAGTGGTCGGAATGTCATCTTGGTTCTGACTGTTGTCTGGGACCAGGGAAGACACTGCGCTTGGAGAATGCCTATTTTTATTTCAGTTCATTGATTTGAGGCCAGTCTGAATGTAAAGACGCTATAAAGTTCGACAAGAGACCCGTGGGAGGATCTGGGGGAGAGGTGGCCGCGGTCATCTGTGAGTAGGGGGAGGGAGAGGCGCGCCCACTCAAGGCCCAAAGCTCCGTAGTGATACAGGTATTGATTATTGCAACATTGGATTCGGAAGCAAATCGGAAGTCCGTCTACCCCACCCCCGCTCCGCTCGGAGTGTTTAAGTCTAGTTCCGGGGACCAGTTGGGATGCCCCAACAAAATTCTTCCTCGAGAATTAGGCTACTTTCCTCTTGCAATGAAAAGTCAATTATAATATTCGGATCAATAAATTTCGTTTCTTAAATATTTTTAAAAGCAACATTGCACGTTGTTTTCAAGTGTGGGTGGCAAGTACGTATTGGAAACAATTTTTATGGACGAGGAAGTTTCGTTCTGTGCCCCCACTTGGGGTACCGGGATGTCTACCTCGCCAGCGGGGGGACTTCTCGCGCTCGGGGTTTAGCTCTGGCCCGCACCCCCGAAGCTTCCAGTGCCTGCCCGCCAGAAAAGCTGCCGAGCCCGGCAGAACTGGGCAAGGCAGAGCTGACGAGGGCGCGCAGGGCGCCGCCCCGCGCCACAAGCCGCCGAGACCTAGCTGCGGGCAAGTGTGGCGGACGCAGCAGTCCTCGACTTTAGGAGCTTGGGGCCGATTCCCCAGCTTTCCCCAGGCCCCGGCATGCGCTTTGCCCACGAGGGGCGCGGACGGAAGGGGGCGTCTCCGAACGAGTTGGGGCTCCGCTGCCGATCCCTAGCCCAAACCTAAGTCTGTGGGACGGTGGGGTGGGACGCGTATGGGAGCTGAGACGACCCCAGCTGCTGAGGAGGACCCCCGCCCCCCAGTACGGGGTCTCTAACCCCAGATAACGTCGGTCTTTCGGAAGGTGCGAGGCGACGCTTTAGGCAAATGGGGTCCCCTCGCAGGCCCCAGAAGCCTGGTCCCCAGCCTGCCAATCTCGGGTGCTTGCTGGCTGGGGGTGGGAGCTGGAAGGCGCCTCGGAGGGCCCGGGCTTTAGCAGGTCCGCGGCCCCCGGCGAGGTGCCACCCCTCCATTCCCTCCCAGCCTCCCGCAGTGTGGGCCTCGGCGCGGCGCCAGCCCGGGGTGCGGGGCGGAGCTAGACTGCGACTCTTTGGGGCCGCCCCGCCCGGCGGCCGGGCCTCGCGCCGGCCCCCGGGGAGGAGTTATGATAATTTACTTCTCATTAAGGTTCCCGGGTCCCCCGGCTATCGCCGGGACAGACAGCACCGGGGCGGCCTTCGCGGTCCACAGCAGCGGGAGCCGCATAAGCGCGCTCAGTGACCCGGACACCAAGGCCCGCGCGCGGCGGAGGCGGCGGCAGAAGCCTGGCCACAGTGACCCGGATTTTGGATTTACCGCTCGGGGGGTGGGGGGAGCCTGGATTTAACTGGCGACTGTTTTGGGGGACGCCGGAAGCCATGTTGTGGAAAATAACCGATAATGTCAAGTATGAAGAGGACTGCGAGGTGAGCGGAGGTGCAGGGGCGCAAGCCGGCCCCACACGTTCGGGTGGCGGGGCCACCGCACCGAGGTCAGGGCCAGGGCGCAGGAGCAGCGAGGAGGTGCCCGCCGTCTCCTCTTGGTGGGACGGGGTCCATTCCTGTGGACACCCCTCCGCCCATTTCTCCGGGTCCCTTTCCTGCTTCGAGCCATTTCCTAAATATCCAGCCCTCGGGAAGGGGCTAGAAAGAGAACGGCAGATCCCACTCCCCACGTTTACCGGTAGCTTTCATACGAAGCAAAACAGCCCTTCCCGTTTTCTCGGAAGCGCGCCCCGTCTGCAATCCTTAGACGTGGCTTTTACGCACGAAATCTCCGTCCAAAGACGTGAAACGAGGTGACCTGAGGGCAACACCTTTGCGGACGCTCCTTCCAAGGCGGGCTTGTCACCTGCCCCTCTACCTCCTCGGAGAAACAAGAAAACAACAGAAGTTTGGCTTTCAAGAGAAGTGGGGGCTGGGCTGGGGGGGGGAGCACGACAAGACTGAGGCAGATGGGGCCTTGCGCTCGCGAGTGCTCCAGCCAGTCGGACAGGTTGAGCTAGAGTTTCGGAGAGTGGGAGGGAGGGAGCGGCGAGCGGGAAGAGGAAGCAGACGCAGGCGGCGTGCGGCTAGCGCCTGGGCGCAGAAAGAGGGAGCCGGGCCCGGCCCGTTGTACCACTAGGCACCCTCGGGCCGCGAGGGGCTGCCCTGCGTGCAGGCCCGGACACTTCCGCTAGGGGGCGACGGTGCCATGTTTCTCTTGGGTCCACACCACCTTCGTGACCCTGGGGACAGATGGACACACACACTTTAGGATCTAAGCCGCACAGCCGTGGAGAGAAGGAACGTGCGCAGGCAAGGCTTCCCAATTTGGGGGGTCTTTCATTCTTTTTTTGTGCCTCGATGTGCGGGGACACTGGCCGGGGCCGGTCAGGGCGGTCTCGTCCCAGACTACCACTTGGCCCAGGGCACGGGCAGCCCAGACCGAGGCGAGGTCCCTCCCCGAGTTTCACGGGTGGCGCTGAGTGGCAGGCCGTGTGCCAGGGCGCGTCGCCCTCCCGAAGGTCTTTGTCCCGGGGGCGTGGAAGGGGGGAGGGTCCCTGGGAAGGGGGCAAGCGCGCATGTCACGCGCGGCGCGCATTTTCCGCGGTTGCCGCTTCCCACTTCCTTTCGCCCTGCGCCGCCGATATGTGCGGGCTGGTGAGCGAGCACGCGTTGCCCCTGGCGCGCCGCAGAGCGTCTTCTTCCCCGGCCTGCGGGCTCGCCGGGCCCAAGGGCTGCAGCGCAGACCTGGCGCCTCCGGGCGTCGGAGCGTCCAGACCTTCGCGGCCTTTCTTTGAGGATACCTTGGTAAACTTTTCCTTCCGCTGCGGACGCGCGGTTACTACGAGTTACTTCGGGCACGTGGCTCTGGGATCGCGCGGCTCTGCGCGGGGGCAGCGGTTCGCGGTAGCAGGGATTCGTACTAACCGGGTCGTCTCTTTCGCCCCCAGGATCGCCACGACGCGAGCAGCAATGGGAACCCGCGCCTTCCGCACCTTTCCTCAGCCGGGCAGCACCTCTACAGCCCCGCGCCGCCCCTCTCGCACGCTGGAGTCGCGGAATACCAGCCGCCCCCGTACTTCCCGCCTCCCTACCAGCAGCTGGCGTACTCGCAGTCGGCCGACCCCTACTCGCACCTCGGAGAAGCGTACGCCGCCGCCATCAACCCGCTGCACCAGCCTGCCCCCGCCGGCAGCCAGCAGCAGGCCTGGCCGGGCCGCCAAGGCCAGGAGGGCGCCGGCCTGCCATCGCACCACGGGCGCCCAGCCGGCCTGCTGCCCCACCTTTCGGGGCTGGAGGGCGGCGCCGTGAGCGCCCGCAGGGAGGCCTACCGCCGTTCCGACCTGCTGCTGCCGCACGCGCACGCCCTGGATGCCGCGGGCCTGGCCGAGAACCTGGGGCTCCATGACATGGCGCAGCAGATGGAGGAGGTGCAGGTGAGTGCCTGGGCTCCTGGCCCACCTGCCGGAACTCTTTGCCCCCTGCCCCTCCCCCCCTGCATCCCATGCCTGGCGAGACTCCCCACACTTTTAACAGAACCTTTGTCGTTCCTTCCCCAGACTGTCGACGAGCAGCACATGCTTTTGCACGATCAAACGGTCATTCGGAAAGGTAAGGAGATTTTCAATTGCCTTTGGCCGCAACTTGAGCTTGTTCTTAACTGCCTTGTGAAGTTATTAATTGTTGGCAAGATGGGGGCCCTTGGTGGCCGGCTTGGGACATTTGTGTGGGAAAGGGACTCTATGGGGCGACATGAAGAGGGAGAGATAGGTGTTAGGAGTTGAAAAGAAATTTCTTGTCGACCTAGAGGAAAAAAGGATGCGGGTAGACCTTCTAGGAGCGGTTTTGGAATTAAAGGTGAGTGCTTTTCTCTGTGTTCGTTATACCATGGTTTTATTTTCTAGAAGGTGAATTTGCAAGCTTAGAGAAAGTTTGCCACAGTAGGTTAACACTGATTTATTTAAAATCTTGAGTGGTTCCATGAGATTTTAAATTCTGAATGAGTTTATGGGATTTTGGGAAGAGTCCTTCATTCTGATCTGCTAAGAACATTTAGGAACAATTTGGCTGAGTGAATAGATGTCCCTGAAAGCGACAGAGGTGGGTGGAGTGATCTGTGGGCTGGTTTTAATGCGGGATCAAGCAAAGGGATTTAGAAAATTGGATTATTTGGTGCTGTGAGTGGCTTGTGAAATGAAGTTAGGTACTGACGGATTACCTGTTTGGAAGATAGCTTGGACCTAAATTAAAGGTAATTTCCGTGTGCTTTGGATTTGAGCTGCTTGAATTGATTGAGGAAAGAGGCTTTTTTGGGGAAAGAAACCCACCAAAATGAACAAACTTTCCCAGTAAACGTAACAACAAAAAGAGATGTGCTTGTATTTTTAAATTCACTGTGATCACATATACTGAAAGATTTTGGTAAGGAATCTGAAAGTATCTTACGATTTTGGTTGTTCATTGTATGAGGAAAAAAACCCAACACCGTTTTTTTAGTATCGAAGTAGTCCTCTGAGGCCCCTGTTCTAATTAAACTGCTCTTCACAGGGGCTCGGAGATGAAAACCTGCCATGCTAGGGACCTTGATTAATTAACTTCGCAAGGTGTTAAATTGTGAATTCAGACTAGATTATCTTTGAAGGCTACAGTTGTTTTCCTTTTTTTTTTAAATCTGCAATTTACAGTGCAGTGCCCAGCGTTACTGGTTGCAGGGTCTCCCTTAGCTTTGGTGGTTGTTGTTGTTATGTGCCATCTTTGGTTACTGGTGTTGAAGATTTCTCCTGTTGGTTGGGATGCAGCTCTCTTGATGCGCCTTCCTTCGTCATTGCTAGGTCCTATTTCAATGACCAAGAACCCCCTGAGTCTCCCCTGTCAGAAGGAGCTGGTAGGAGCCGTGATGAACCCCAGCGAAGTCTTCTGCTCCGTCCCGGGAAGACTGTCCCTTCTCAGCTCCACATCAAAATACAAAGTGACAGTGGCTGAAGTGCAGCGGCGACTGTCCCCGCCTGAATGCTTAAATGCCTCCCTACTGGGAGGTGTTCTCAGAAGGTACTTACTGTGGGACAGGGTGGTTGGGTGGCTGAAGGTGAATGTGTAAGTGGACTGGGGAGATATTTTTATCATTTATGTAACTTTGATACCTAACGCTGAATTCTAATGGGCTCGGGGAGCGTTTCTGTACACTTCTTCAGAAAGTGCCAAAAGTGGGGGGAAGTGCTAACACAGCGCTAACAAAAATTATCATTTGGTTAGTTTGGTTCCAAGTGTGCAGTGGCGGGACTTGGTATTAAGGGAAGGGAGAACTTGGGGAAGGAATTTTGTTCCCCTAGGGAGTTATTTTGGGGGTGCAGTTTTTAGGAGTGAAATTTACCTACTCCATCTTCCACTATGACTTAGAATGTTCTGTGAGTAAAAAATATGTTGAGGCTAGGAAATTTTTTAAATTTACTCCCTCCCCCAAAAAAAACAAAAAACAAAAACCCACTGCCACTGAGTCTATTCCAACTCTTAGTGACCCTGTAGGTCAGATAGAACTGGCCCATAGGGTTTCCAAGGCTATAAATCTTTACAGAAGGAGACTGCCTCATCTTTCTTCTGGGGAGTGGCTAGTAGATTTGAACCACCAACGTTTTGATTAACATAGCCAAATGTTTTACCTGCTGTGGCACCAGCACTATTGATCCAAATAATATAGGTACTGGATTCATTTCCCTTTGGACAGCAGCACTCTGGGAATTTGGTTTCAAAGTGTGGTTTTTGACGCAATTAGCCACAGTCTCCTTTCCTTTTACGCAGAGCCAAGTCTAAGAATGGGGGCCGTTCTTTGCGGGAGAAGTTGGACAAGATTGGGTTGAACCTCCCAGCCGGCCGACGGAAAGCCGCCCATGTGACTCTCCTGACGTCCCTAGTAGAAGGTTCGTGAGGTGTCTTTGTGTGGTCTGTCTGGTTTTTTTGTGCTGTTTTTAATATCCTTTCAAAAAAAAAAAAGGCTGGACCAGAACTCCTGAACTGTGGAAGCTGTCTGGATGGTCAGATTCCTTACCAGGGACACAAGAACCTTACCCAGCAGATGGGCAGCTCAATAGCTGGCTGCTTGGGGGTCCCCCAGAAATCAAAGCACAAGAGACTGCTTTTCCTCATTTCAGTGCTGGCAGACGTGTGGGCATTTCTTGTTGAATGATAGTGGTTGTGGGGTACTGGGATGTTGTTGTTCAGGGACCCCAAGGTGACTGTGACTCGGCGACCCCACGTGACAGCAGAACTGTCCCATAGGGGTTTCTAGGCTATAATCTAGGAGAGCAGATGGCCAGCAGGGTTCTCTTCCGCAGAGCCTGTTGGGGGGGGGGTTCCAATCAGCATCTGAGTGCTTAGTCACTGCACAACCAGAGCTCCTTTGCATTTTGGGACAGTGATCAGTTAAGAATTTTCTTCCTTAATATGGGAGCTCTGGTAGCATAGTGCCTAAGGCACTTGACTGCTAACCAGATGGCTGGCAGTTCAAACCCACCAGCCACTCCTCAGAAGGAAGGTTGGGCAATCTACTTCCGTAGTGATACTGCCTCGGAAACCCAAGGGAGGGGTCGCTGTGAGTCGGGTCCGACTTGACGGCACATAACAACAACAACAATATGATGAGACCAGCCTAGTTCACAACCTTGTTTTCCCTCCATTAAAGAGAAAAAGATGAAGCAAGGGAACCCTGGCCTCGGTATATTGTGCCTCAGTCCCCATCCCTGTAAGACTGGAGGCTGTTTCTTGAAATGGAGGTGCATACAAACACACACACACACACACACCCCAACCTGAAAAGTAGTCAAGTAGCTGGCAATACAACTTTGAAAATATGGAATGAGGGAAAAGTAAACCAATTATTTGCAGAGCCAAACCAAGTGCCTTGTAATTGCTCACAGGAAAAAGGATTGCAGCAGAAGCTTATCCTCAAACCTGGCACAGTCTCCCAAGTGCCCAGCCCAATGGGCACGTTGCTGGGCATCTTGTATGGGCTGGAGAGCAAATGAGATGTAGTCCTAGCCGGCCATATGGTCTTTCCTCAACAGTTCCTTTCCTAGCCTGATGACATGACAGGGTTCCTGCCTACCTTTTTAGGAAGGTCTCTGGGGGTCAGGGTAAGGAGAAAGGGTGCCTTTAGGAACAGCTGCCCCCGCATGGAGCTTGGCACGTATGGGGAGACCTGCATGAATGTGGCTCAGCAGTGCTTGGATAAGAGGGTGCAGGAACGATGGCCTGAGAGTCTCCTTCGGGAAGTCTGGTGGCCCCACCACATGGTGTTGGAGCCGGGAAGAGTACTTCGGTGGAAGATGACTTTCTTGAACTTGAGGACTTTCCCCTCTTGTTCCGCCAGTTGACTGGACAAGGGGGTGGGCAGTCCAAGTTGATGGTTAGGGCTCTCTTACAGTTCCAGTAGGAAACTTCTTCCTCTTTTTTTTTTTTTTTCATAAACAAAATAGAGACCTGTGGTCCCTTCGATATGGAGCCACCCTAGAAGTCTTTCTGACAATTATGGGGGGGAAAAAAGCATCATGTAAAACACTTGTCAGGTTTTTTTTTTTAATATTTTTTAAAATAGAGTGACCAATTTGTTTTGGTCAAACATGCTTATTTATCTCCCTGAAATTTCCTTTCCCACAATGACGTTTCATTACTTAAACCCACGTGGGTCTGTCTTGAGGTTCTGTTTATGGGCAAATGAGTGGTTGGAATTTTCCACCAGAGTCTTTTTTGTTACACTGTGATTGTCACCCTTAAGATTCCTGGGGTGGAGAACCTGTTGGAAGTACCCAAGAAGTTCTCCTACTTCCTAAATGGTTTCCCCTGGAAAGGTCTGGTCTCTTTTCCAAAGGCAAAGTCACTGGTAAACAATTAGTGTGAGCAGGAGAGTGGTGGTGGTGACCCCATCCACCCTAAAGCCCCGCCATGGCTTCTTGTTGCAGGCGAAGCTGTTCATTTGGCTCGGGACTTTGCATACGTCTGTGAAGCCGAGTTCCCCAGTAAATCGGTGGCCGAATACTTGACCCGACCTCATCTAGGAGGACGGAATGAGATGGCAACCCGGAAGAACATGCTGCTGGCGGCCCAGTAAGTACCCTGACTTGCATTGGCTCCTTCCGAATGCCCCAGACCTCGCAGTTCAGAGTTCCAGCACGGTCCCTGGTGTGAAAAAAAGAAATATTTGTTAAATTAGGATGGCAAACAAAAAATTGAAAGGGACCTTCTTTTAGAAATTAAAACCCACCTAGTTCTGTGTGTGCCTTGCTCTGGATGAACTGTCTCAGCTGCATAGCTATTCAGCTCAAAGTGGGTAAGCCTCTCTCCATACAAAAGTGTGTTGAAAACTGGTTTGGTTTGTCACTCAGGGGAAGACGATTACCTGTCTTTGTGTGCCTTCTGTTTCCAGATAAAGAGACTTTTTTTTTGAATGATCAGCGTGGGTTTATAGGTGGCATGTAGGCAAATTAAATGACTCCAGAGCTACTTACAAAGCTGCTTGGGAGTTTCTCTTGGAAAAAAAAAAAAAAAAAACCTAGGTGGATTTTTAAATGATGAGAAATGAAGCAGAATTGGTCAACTCAAGAAACAGGCCAAAGGATGCCCAGTGGACCCACCTTTGTAAAGTGAGTGGGTTTGGGGGTGGCAGGGGGAATGTGGGATTCACCAGGTTCTTCCAGCCAGTTCTGGGCAGGGTTTACCTACTTGTCCCCAAAGTACATGACCATCCCTTGGTTTCTTTTAACTTTTGGAGCACATTTTTCTGGGTTCAAATCCTGGCTCCATCATATCCAGTCCTGGTGACCTTGACCACTTGACTGGACTTAATCCTGTTATCTTTTCTAATTGCAACGAGTAGTACATGAGATAGTGCTGGAAAGAGCTTAGCTCCTACCTAGCACATAGTAGATGTTAAACGAGCTAGTTAGCTGCTTTGTTGAGTGCCCTTGAGCCCCTGAGAAGTTGTTGTGAGATGCCACCAAGTACATTCTGATCAGCTACCTCATGTGACAGTAGAACTGGCCCATGGGGTCTTCCAGGCTGTAATGTTATGGGAGCAGATTGCCTGGTCTGTCTACTGTGGAGCTGTTGGGTGGGTTAGAACCACCAACCTCTTGGTTAGCCAGCTGGGTGCTTCACTGTTTCACCATCAGGGCTCCTTGTAACTTCCTACTATTATGTCTAAGTTCTTCCTGATTGAGTCAGTCCAAAAATCCAACTGTCTCCCAGGTGTTAACTTGAGGTGCCTTGCCCCCTCCCCCCATGTCCTTCACCTGAAAGGCGCTAGCTGCAGCTCACCTATCTGTTGACGGTCTTCACAGGCAAGTGTGTAAAGAGTTCACGGACCTTCTCACTCAAGACCGAACGCCCAACGGGAACAGCAGGCCCACTCCGGTCTTGGAGACCAGCATACAGAACTACCTGTCTCATTTCAGCTTGATCACCCACGGGTTTGGCAGCCAGGCCATCTGTGCCGCCATGTCTGCCGCGCAGAACTACATAAAAGAAGCTCTGATGGTAATAGACAAATCTTACATGAACCCTGGAGACCAGAGCCCAGCCGACTCCAACAAAGCCCTTGAGAAGATAGAGAAGCACAGGAAATAAGATGGGGAGGAAAAGGACAGTGAAATCCATCCTTGGACTAGAAGCCCCTCTTGTTGGGGGGCAGTCTGTTACCTACCTTACTGTTGCTTCTGGATTGGCAGTGTTTGTGTTTTGTTTTTGTTTTGTTTTGTTTTTTACACGCCCACCGGATTTTTTCATTGTTTCTCTAGCGCTGAAGGTCTTTCCTAACTTTGGACAAGTTAGCAGGCAAACGAGTACTGCTCCTTATCCTGTTAAATTTTTATTTGTATGCTTTTTGGAGCCCCTTTCTTCCCTTCTCTGAACGTGGTGCTATATACAGTTCTAGATGAAAGCCTTTAAGTAAATTCCCTCATCTAACAAGAACCACACGGACCTGGTGAAATGTCATCTGGATGTGACTTCATCAAGAGAACTTTGTTGTTGCATTTTAAGACAGTGGCTGCTTTGGGAGTCCACTAAGCATTTGTCTTAAAGGTGTCTTGCTTCTTCAGATACCAGATACTGCACTAGGAAGCAAAGGTTCTCATCTGAACAACTAGTTAAGTTAATAGGTGGTATGTGAAACACCTTCAACTTGTTCAAAGGGAGCCTTTGGGTTTTAGGAAACTTGTAGACATAGCCTGCTGGAGATTTTGTTTTTCTGTTTATTTCCTTTTTTAAAACTCATAAAGTTAACACTTCAAACGGGAGACTTCTTTGAAATGACATGTTCCTTTGAGGTACTGAAGCTTTATTTGCATATTTATTTCAGATCTTGGTTTTTAGAGGAAACTTGAGGCAGGTTTTGTTGCTGCCCATTGTCCCCATTCCCCGTGGTGAATCTGTATGTTGAGAAGCCGTGTTACTGTACAGATTTTATTTATGTGTAATTTAATGGGGTCTGTAAATACTGGTCAGCTTCTTAAGATTTTTTTTTTTTTGAGAAATGGGATTTGGTTTTAATAATTGTGACAGGTGATGGGGTGATCTATAACACATGCTTAGGTTTTATTCATATGTACACAGGGTCTTGAGAGGATAGTGGCTCCGTTCTTGACACGGAAGATTCTATTCAGTTGTTCACAAAGCAAGCAGCTTTGTCTCCTGCTGTCGAGCGGAACCCTGAGATGGTGATGAGTGTGTGGGACTGTGGGGGAAACGGAGGTTTGGAATTGCACTCAATGGCTGTAAATGCTCCCCAAACAAGTCTGTTGTGTAAATGATGCTGTACAATAAAAGTATTCTCAGTAGAATCTGTGCAAGTCTGGCTATAAATTAAATTGTTTTTTTTTTTAACGTCTTGAAAATGAGTGGAATAGTGGCTGAGCTCGTTGTGGGTTGTGGCTACGGCTTAGTTAATAAGATTGAGCGGGGTGCTGGGTGCTGCTGGACAATGGAAGTTTCCTTTTCTTTCCCTTTTGAGTCTGTGCTGTTGTCCCAAGTCCCGGACAGTCATTAGTGGCTCTCAGCTACATTCAGTACAGAATCTCCCAACCCACAGAGTCTGGGGAACATGTGACGGGCAGGTTATTGACATGGAGAAGAAGGTCTGGCATGTAAGGTGACCCGAAGGAGAAACACTGTACTCTAGGGTTGGATTTGATCCCTCCATTTTGTGAATGGAAATGGAAATGGAATGGCAGTTTGAAGTAATTCCTTGGGAAGATTCCTCAGGAAGAAGACATGCCATCCAGTGAAATGCAGACGAGAGTGTGTGTGTGTGTATGTGTGTAGGGTATCAGTGTTGTCGATTAATCAAAACTCTGCAAACTGGAGAACTCATCCTCTCCTGCAGTCAGATCAGATGGGGTCTTTGTAGTCTACTTCGAGAGGACTGGAGTCTGGCAGGGTGTCAGTACTTGCTGGATGTTTTTAAGGACCTTGGATGCATGCTATGCAGATACTTGATTTCAAGCTGAAGTGGCCTGGCACATGGTCCAGGAAATACGGTGTTTACAGATTGGCTCGGGTGGCCTGGCTTCAAAGGGAAGTGGGAGCAAGAGGATTTTCCACGTTGAATAAGGCCATGGCTTTAGCTCCAGCCTCATAATCCTTAATTCATAATTCTCTGCACGGTGCTCAGCGATTCCTGACTTACTGTTGGCATTGGGAGTTATAAAGTAATTTAAAGTCTGCCAACCTGCTACTTTGCTCTTGGCAGCTTGTCTTGGCCACTGAACGTTCCCATTAGGTTGGGTTTATCTGGTTGATATGTCAGGATCACAATGGCTTTGCTTCAGAGCGGTGAAAAGAGGTCTTAGGTTGGCAGTTATTTCTCAATCAAGACTTGAGAGGTGGGGTGTTAAAGGAAGTTATGGGGGCAAAGGGCTGAAGGAAACGGGACTGTCAGCATCTTAACTTGCTTTTGGATTACAGTCTGCTTTTAGGAGCTGTGCCGAATCGCGCTGCAAACAATGTTCTGGAAATGCCCCAAAGTCAACCCAGGCTTGAAGTGAGTCATACGTGCAGGCTTGTCTGGTTCCCTGCTCGGCTCCCTTGATCCTCTTTCCCACTGGAAGTCCATGGGACGGCCACTGGGTTTGCTGGGCCTGGTGTGCAGTACTAACAGGTTTCTCTAAAATACCTCTGACCTGGTGCCACGCAAAACAGAACCTGCTGGAACACGGGCTGCATCCTGCTTTCAGTCCAGCCCTGGTTTATGTGTGACAATGGTGTCCTGCCTTTGCGCCCTTCCAGCTCCTGACCGCAGGACTGTGAGGTTGGTAGACCCTTGCAGCTCCCCCTCATGGGCCAGGATATTTTTGTTGCAAGCTTCCCTTCCTCTGAACTGGACCTGCCCTTCCCTGGCCCCATTCTTACTAATGATTTGGCTCTAAAGTCTTTGCCCTCTGGGAGAGGCAGCCATGTGGTTTTTATTTATTTTTTCCTGGTCACCCTGAAGGAAAACTCATCCATTGTCTGCAGGCACGTGCTATCTAGCGTCCCTTTACGTAAGAGGCTTGGCAGCAGGATTGTGTTCTGGGGACTGGAGAGTTGGCCGTCCACTACCTGACCCCTCATCTGCTGCCCCACCGACAGACCCTTACTGTCCTCCAGGTGACCACAGCCCTTCACAGCTGTCTTCGTGTACACACAGTTCAAGTTTTGGGGAAGGAGAGGGGTACCATCCGCTTCTTACCTGAGATGATTCCGTAACTGGCCCTCATTCTTGTGAGGGGGGCGGGTGTCTAGTGTCATAAGCCCTGATACCTAAGTTCCTGTGTTAGGATGTTGGTAAGGGAACACCAAGGTAAGAAGACAAAGGGACAGTCCCCAAGGCTTGGCAGCAGCTTAGGCTCTGGTGCCCCTTGCCTCTAGTTGCCAAACGCACCAAGCTCAGCGCCATGGACCCTGTAGGACAGGAGAACTGCCCCTGGGGTTTCCAAGGCCGTCAATCTGGCGGAAGCAGACTGCTGCATCGTTTTCCTGCAGAGTGGCTGGTGGGTTCAAACTCTGCCGACCTCTGCTTAGCAGCCACATGGGTCACCACTGCCACCAGAGCTCTTTTCTACTGGTCACCAGCTGTGGTGAATTCCAGTGGCCATTCGGCGAGTCTCCCTCCCGTCTGGTGTGGGGCGGGGTGGCAGTTGAATGTGCCTCCCCTTCCAAGTTGGTGGAGTGGTTTGAAGTTGCCGCCATGGTCTGAGGAGAACAGCCTATGGTCCCCTTAAGTGGGTTTTACAGGTGATGGAGCTTTTGAGTGATGGCAATGACCCTTAGCAAATGTCTTCTTGAGTCAGCTGAGCTTAGTGGGCGGTGAGGACTTTCCCCATAGTTGGAGATAAGGAAGGTTTGCTTTTGAAATTTCCAGGTTGCCATGCAGGGACATGCCCTTGCCAGGAGTAGCTGTCTCCCCTTGATGATTGTCCTTGCTGTACCTTCAATGTCTTCTTCCAGCAAACAGTTTCCTTTGCTTCTCAGATCCACAGGCCACCCCCTGGGAGGTTTGGTGACACTCAGAGCCACCACAGCCTGACCCCGTCCTGGTTTTGCCACCCACGCTGGCACCGTGCCCAAACCTCATACTGCTGCAAGGCAGGCCACACCTTGGAAGTCTTTGCAAGAACTTGGAACACGATCTGCAGAAACAAGCTTCACCTTGTGCTTTTAAAAATTCCTATTACAGGTTCCCCCGCTATCCGAAAGGAGAGCGTTCCTGTGAAATCTTTGATAAGCCAAAATGACATAAAGCGATATTAATTTATGTGGGAAGTGAAAATCCTCCTGGGTTCCTTTCAGTTAGCAAAGATGCACAACATAGGTCTGGTAAAAGTGGGGGACACCTGTGCATTAGTGTGCACAGTTTCCTGGGGTGCTGAGTTATTTTTTGCCATCATCATAAACGTGAATTTCCCTGCTGTTTTTGGGTAACATCTCGATGGGGGAGGTGGGTAGGAGAAAGGGGTGGAACACTGACTAGGGTTGATTGGCATTCTGGTGGTGCAGTGGTTAAGGCATTTGGCAGCTAACCAGAAAGTCAGTGGTTCAAACCTATCAGCCACTCCACAGAAGAAAGATGAGGCATTCTGTTTCCTGAAGATTCACAGCCTTGGAAACCCAATTAGGGTCTCTCTTTGCAGTCGACTCAATGGCAGTGAGTTTGGTGTGGAGTCTGATCCAAGGACCAGCTTTAGTTAATGTTTCCAAAGTCAGGTCTTGACGTTTCTTTCATAACACATGTCATGCTGCTTGGCCAGCGTTTCTCAAGGAGAGATCTTGGTCCTTGGGACTGACTCTCACAAGGGAGAATGTAAGAATTGGGTGGATTGAAGAGGGGATCTTGGTGTCTGACTTTGGCTGAGACTTGAAGGTCCTTGGACTTTTTTCCTTTGCTGTTTCCTTCCCGATGATTTTTCTGTGAGTTGCTTTCTAAGTGTGGGCTGACATCTCTGACAAAGCTTCCTCTTAGGTCCAACTACCCAGGTCAGGGCATCTAACAGCATGGAGGCTCTTCACACCATTACATGAAAACATGATTTCCCCGTCTCCCTCTTTAACAAATAAATGGGTTCATGGGCACCATTACTTGCCGACACTAGCAT